TGCAATGTCTGAGTAGGCTGTTTGACAGATTTAGAGTTAGAACTAAAATTTCATGTCACTTCCCTTTTGTATACTCTTCCTCCTCCTGTCTCTGTGCCTGAGATCTGGTTACAACACAGCCAGCAAATAATCCAGGATGTTTCTTTCTCAGCTCCTCAGTTTCTTTTTGGTTGTTTGTTACAACACCCTCAGTGAGGTCAACATTTTGTTGTAATTCCCCAAGGTAAAATCAATTCCTTCTGTCGGGATTTGTTGCACTAATCTAACTATGACTTCTTCGCTTAATAAGTCATGTTTCAATTCAACTGTACACAATGAAAGTGGTTTGTAAACCTCTGGTATACATCCAATTAATTCTTTTTCCTTTTTTCGTCCCTGTGGAAGACAGAAATTGTATCATCAGTCTGCATTAGAAGTGGACTTGTTCTACTGCCTCTTAACACCTTTTATTGGTTTGCCTCCTTGATTAGAAGTGTAAGGAAATGTCTCAGCCTTTGAAAAAAAAATCCAAAATCTCTACCAGTCTGATTCTGGCTATTCTCAGCATATAGAACAATGGTTGTATTCACATTGTGCATTTTATCACTTACCTGTTGGCAAGATGGTAGAACAAAAAGCAGAGATAGTTCCCCTTCCCAAAATAAAACCCAAACCCGCATCGCCCGTTTCTATCACCTTCCCAAAATAATAAAAAACATTCTGAAGAAGGGTCCAGACCCAAAACGTCAGCTTTCTTGCTCCTCTGATGCTGCCTGGCCTGTTGTGTTCATCCAGCTCCACACCTTGTCATACAAAAATCAGATTGTGAGAGTGCTTTTTGGTAATAGTGAGCGCTTTACTTCCCAAATGACTGAACAATAGTGGGGATACTCAAGTAAGTATGCACTTCTGGTGACAAGTGGCATTGACTGAATCAGTGTAAAAAATGGGGGAATTTTAAAGATTTGAATGTTGTGCTTGTGTTTGTGTTTCCATGATCTTTTATATTAGGTCATGGTACAACTTGACCAGATCAAAAATCAGTCATAAAATTAGCTCAAGCCCCTACTCTCCCCCTCCCCAAAAAATAACCGAAATTATAAATAGAGACATGGAGAATGAAAGCAGGGAAGGATGCCACACCTCTACAAATCATTGGTCAGATTGCATTTAGAGTATTGTGCTCAGTTCTGGATACCTTATTTAAGGAAGGATGTTAAAGCCCTGGAGAGAGTACAAAGGAGTTTTGCTAGAATAATACCAGGAATGAGGGATTTTGGATATAAGGAAAGAATAGAGAAATTGGCTTATTCTCATTTGGCAGGGTAAATAAAAATATTTTTTTTCTACCAGCTGGTATATCAATAACTAGGAGTTACAGTATCAAAACTGTCAACAAGAGAGCTCTGAGTGAGATGAGGTGAAACTTCTATACACGCAAAGTTGTAAGGATTTGGAATGTGCTGCCTGGGAAAGTGGTGAAGTACATATACCTGTGTTGCTTAAGATGTTCCCTGCTCAAATTAATTTTGCTGCTTAAAACAGCATGACCGAATACTTGTGGCTGATCAATGATGTGCACTGTGCAATACTGAGCTAGAATGAGTATTATCATTGTAAGGAAACCAAATAATACTTGAAGTTGCACAATGATAGCTATGTAAAATTCAAGTGCTGATTATTTACATTAATGTCGGTGGAATAGCATCGCTCATATTTATAAATTTACAACACTTAACATTCTTCTCGCCATAGCTCCAGATATACATCTTCTTCAGATTTCTCTCCCTCCTCCACTCTTGTCCATAAGATTCACCTTGTTCTCCTTTAACCCTGTTTCCATAAACTGCTGAACACCTATTTTACCTTCTTGGCCCTCATGTGAGTTGATTATAGTTAATGGCTCCTTTTCTTAAATTACTACATAGACTTAACTGAAGTCATTTTCTCTGGACCACACCACAAACTGTTCTCTCACTGAGTCCATTCATCTCCCTGACTGTTCATAACCTTCACATTGTATTCAATCAAGAGACATCAAAATAATAATGAAGAAAGTTTACAACACAAAGTAAATAAAGAAAGTATCATGCTTCTATTAGAATATGACTGGACATAATAAACCAGAACTGCTGGAAATTAAATGGGAAACCTATTGCAGCAATAGGAATGCCTAAGAAATCTTCAAAAAGGGATGCATCAGGAAAGGTATTTTGAAAACGTAGCAGCGAAACAGGAGGAATATGTTCCCTCAGAACATACTAGAAACGGGGGAGGTAACTCAGGATAGTCAAGAAAATCGTGGCTCAGTTGTAGATCAAGAGAATTGTTTTTATTCGTGGGATGAGATCATCGCTGGCTAGAACAGCATTTATTGCCCATACCTAATTGCCCAGAGGGTAGTTAAGAATCAATCACATTGCTGTGTGTCTGGAGTCACACGTAGGCCAGACCATGTAAGGATGGCAAATTTCCTTCCCTGAAAGACATTAGTGAATGAGATGGGTTTTTCCTGACAATTGACAATGGATTCATGGTTGCCATTAAACTCTTAATTCCAGATTTTTTTTTCTTGAATTCAAATTCCACCATCTGCCTTGGTGGGATTCAAACCCATGCACCCGGAACATTATCTGGTCTCTAGATTAATAGCCCAGCGATGATACCGCTAGGCCATTAGCTCCCCAGTCAGAATCAGACTGGTGCAGATTTTGAATATTTTATTTCAAAATGGGAGGGACAATTCCTTACACTTCTAATCAGGGAGGCAAATCAATAAAAGGTGTTAAGAGACAGTAGAACAAGTCCACTTCTAACGCAGACTGATGATACAATTTCTGTCTTCCACAGGGGCTGATAAAGGAAAAAGAATTAATTGGATGTATACCAGAGGTTTACAAAAGACTTTCATTGTGTACAGTTGAATTGAAAAGTGATTTATTAAGTGAAGAAGTTATAGTTAGATTAGTGCAACAAATCCTTGCAGAAGGAATTGATTTTACCTTGGGGAATTACAACAAAATGTTGACCTCACTGAGGGTGTTGTAACTAATAAACAAACAAACAAAAAGAAACTGAGGCACTGAAGGAGAAACATCCTGGATTATTTGCTGTGTTGCGCCTCGATCTCAGGCCCATAGACAAGACGAGGAAGAGTATACAATGGAATTTTAGTTCTAACCCTAAACTCTGTCAAACAGCCTCCTCAGAAATTGAATCAGAACCAATACTTGAGTGTTATTATTGAAAATGCAAATTATTAAGAAGGAAGTTAAGACTGCCTAAAATACCAGCCACTGAGGAATGGGCAATGGTCCATCAGGTTGCAACTTATCATTGTATTGTGAGATATGACAAATGGATCATACAATTCCTAAGGCAGATTATTGAAGACTTACAAAAATGCAGGCTAAAATATTAACACGTTTTATTGGATTACTTAAAGATGTTGTTAAATTTTGCCATACATGTCAGGAACCCCCAACCATCAATTAAACTTGCACTTTTAATTCTGATGCCAGCTTCCAAAGGACCATTTAGTCTTATTGGATGATGTAAGACTCCTAACTAAAACCAGGAGTGGAATCAGTCTCTTTAGCAATTATGAAATGTTTCAACAAGATTTCCTGAGCCAGCACCTTTGGTGAAAATGAAAGAAAAAACGGTGGTGGAAAAATTAATTCAGTTTTTATTCAAGATATGAATTACCCAAGGAAATGCCATTAAATCAAGGTTCAAATGCTGTGTTGCAAATATTCAAAGAAGTAATTAGTAGTTCAGTAAAAGTATTTATGTTTTCTTCTCATCATCCACAACCCCAAAAAGCATTAGAATGATGACATCAAATTTTAAAGGCCACAATTAAATTTGATGGAAGGAACGTCTATTGAGTTAACTTATGAAAGCTTGTACACACTCATAAATCATCTAATGTAAATAGGCCAGAGAAACATCTTTGGCCATACAGAATGTTAATGTAGGGGATGCAACACAGAATCACATCCAATTTGATGATTACTTATTTCAGGAAATAATCTGCAAACTACCTTAGCCAAATTTTCATAACAAATATCTGAAATTGTTTTGTTTGACTTCAATGCTTGAACTAATCAATTTGAAAATCATTCACATGACATGAAGAGATGGGGTCATAACAGATACCTTTTTCTTCATATTTGTTATTTATAAAATATCATCGTCAAAATGGGCTTTTATAGGAGATGATTGTTGTGGAAAATTCTTGTGTATTTAATGTTATCATAAAAGAGAAATCTGTATACATAGAATAGATACAGTCATGTGGAAATTGTAATAGAAAATGAAAATGCCTCTTAAAGACACCTTTTTCTCTGTGGTGAGTGTGATGAAGGTACTTATTATTGAATTCTAGAGTGAATGAATGATGTGTAACTTTATGTTTGATTTGTATTTCTATTTTGTATATGTTTAAAAATATGGGAGACAGACTTCAAGTTTTATTTTCGAGTTTTTTGAGCGTTTTGGTACCAGGAAGTCTCAAGTTTGTTTATGGATGTATTTCAGCCAAGTATTTACAGCTTTGCAGTAGAGTTGGGACTCATGGTTCAACAGTTCACTGTATTTGAAAAAATCAAGTAGAGAAAGTTGTGATGTGCCCAAATAGCAAGAAGAAATCTCTGGAATCTGACTTGTCCAGTGTTACTATCAGCTGGGACGATAACACGATATGCCTCAGTGTTGTACATGCCAAAGTTTGGGGTCAGCTGGATGACTGGTTTGTGACGCAGACTGACACCAAACAGCGCAGATTCAATTCCTGTACCCACTGAGGTCACCATGAAAGTCCTACCTTCTCAACCTCACCCTCATCCTCACCTAAGGCATGGTGACCCTGCAGTTGAACTCACCACCAGCCATGTCTCTCTCCAAGGAGAAATGGGACTATGGGGACTTTTCTGTAAATGCCACGGTTTTATTGCAGTCATTCCTGGATATATTGTTGGAGTAAAATAACTCTCTGTCATTGTTTTTAAATCTTTCAGGTATTTGTGAAGTGCCATTTTGAGTATGAGCCTACCAATGATAACCTGATTCCATGTAAAGAAGCTGGCTTGAAGTTTACTTGTGGTGATATTCTGCAGATTGTGAATCAAGAAGACCTCAACTGGTGGCAGGTAAGGCCATTCACTGTGTCTGCTATTCTGCTGCGTTACTGGAACAAACTCTTCCTAATGGGTTGAATTTTATTTGATTAACATTGGCCTAGGTGTTCTGAGAGTTGTTGGAGCAGAGTAGACTGAAGTGCATTGTGGAACCATGCAAACTGCCCGAAGCAGCTGAGTCCATGGAAACTGGCTGGGAAATTGTTGGGCAATTCCCCCGCACTTCGAACCCTCCAAAAGAGTCAATTGAAGTTGGAAACTTTGGAGGTTTCAGACTCACTTAAGCTTATTAGTTACCCAGAAAACATTAAAGGATTAAAACCTAACTCCAGGATAACTATTGAATTGATCCACTCATTCACCATTAACCCCACCCAACTACACCTCCACTGACCACTGACCCAAGCTGGATGCTCCAGTTCATGCACTTTTGGATCTAATAACCCGATGAACAGACATACCCTGGCACCAGCCTCCAAACCAAACAGCTAATGCTGCTGTCCTGATCCTTCATCAACCCGAAAACGCTAGCTAGAACTTTGATGCCCACCTCCTCCAGTCCCTCAGGCTGTGTAGTGTGTTGTACATCACTTGGGAGTATCAGTTTGTGGTGTTGATGGTCCAATATATTCATCATGAGTTTTGCTTAAGCTGTTGTGTCCTCTTTCAGTCCTGAACCCACCCTTATCAAATTCACAGATTGTTTCCTAGGTGTCTGAGATAACAATAGACTGTCCTCCTTTCCTCCTCCTCCACCTATCTGCAGCCCATGACACAGTTGCCCATACCATCTTTCTCCAATGCCTATTCTTTATTTTTGTATGGGATGTGGGCTCCCTTGGCAAGGCCTACATTTGTGCCCATCCCTAGTTGCCCTTGAACGCATTGACTGTCTAGGCAATTTCAGAGGGCAGTTTCGAGTGAGCTTCGGTGCTGTAGGTCTGTAGTCACAGTTGGGTCAGACCAGGTAAGGATGGCCAATTCCCTTCCCTAAGGGGAAACCTTAGTGAACCAAATGGAGTTTTAGAACAATCAACTCAGGCGCCATTGGGTGAGTTTTTAATTCAGATTTTATTTATAAATGACAACAACTTATTCAAAGAGTTGGGTTTTAAGGATCATACTGCACCACAGAAATATAGTTTGTTTACATATATATGAATAATGACATTAATTAAACTCACATTCACCTCTTGTTCTAAATTATAACGGTCAGAATTAACTCAATAGCATTCTTGCTTCACCTCTGCAATAGTGGGATTCACACCTGGGTCCATAGAACATGGGTCTGGGATCGGAGACTGTTAGCCTAGTGGCATTATCACGCTGCCAGCACCCGCCAGATGAAAGTGTATTTGTCAGGCTGTATTGCCAGCTATCCAGCTGTAGCCAGGGAATCAGCTGGAAAGTCATCTGTCCCTGCTCCTGAGTTTTTACATTTGATGACCCTTCCTCCTAAGGATCTATTCTTCAACTCTGCATCTACATGATTCTCCTCAGCGATGTGTGAAAAAACATAGCATCAGTTAGTGCATGTGTGTGAATGGTACCCAAATCATCCATTTCTCAAGACCCCTCCACTGCCTCTTACTTTTCTAACTGGTTGTCTAACATCCAGAACTCCATCAGCAGAAATTTCCTCTAACTAACTGTTGCGGTAATCAAAGGCTTTGTTTTCCATCCACAAAGCAAGTTTCATTCTCCTGCTCATGGCATCCCTTCCTCTGGCAATTCTGGTTCAAACATTAGTGTTGTGTTTGATCCCTTCAGGAGCTTCCAATCACATGTTCACTCCATCAGCAAGACTGTATTTCCAACCATGACATGTGGCTGGATTCCATCCCTATTTTGGGCTGAAACCCTCATTCATGCCTTGTAACCTTTATCCTAGAATATCCCACTGCATTTCTCACTGGACTCACATATTCTGCAAACCCTGACGTTTGAGATAATCTGAATTTCTGTTAGTGTGTTGTAATCCATTTACTGCCACCCATTCCTCACCTACATTGGCCTCCAGTTAACAAATGTCTCAATTTTAAAATTCACATCCTAACTTTCAAATCACTCCAAGATCTTCCTTTCAGGATTCTGTAATCTCCTCCAACTCTATAATCCTTCATGATTTCGGCAGTTCTTCAATTAGATCCTGTTGTGAATCCCTGAATTTGATCCTCTACCATTGGCAGGAATGCCTTCGGCTGTCAAGACACTAAGCCCTGGAATTCCCCCCGAAACATTTGTGGTTGAATGTGTCTCATTCCACCTTTAACCAGGTAAAATGCTATCTCCTAATAGTGCAGCACTCCCTCAGTCAGCTCACGTCTCTGGAGTTGGGTTTGACCGATCAACCTTCCAACTCTGAAGCAAAAATGCTATTGAGTTAAATCTGACCTTAGTAATTTAGAACCAGAAGTGAATGTGAGCTTGATAAATGTAATTGTTAATACATGTAAACAAGCTATACTTTTTGTGGTACAGTGTAATCCTTAAAACCTACGTCTTTGAACAAGTTAATGTCATTTATCCTCAGATGGCCCTTATCTGATGTAATGTCAACATTTGCTTGAAAATACTCCTAGATGCAGCCTGGGCATCATACTAATGTGTAATGTTATATGTAAACCTTAAGACAGTTCACATTTACGGACTCCATGTGCTATAGTGTATATAATGTAGCTACTTTGCCTGGTAGCCCACAAACTGCACTCAGTCTCAGAAATCAGTTGGTTTTCTGTAATATCTGCTTCATAACTTATTATGTGCTTTACTGTTATAAATAAACTAACCCACAGAGTTAATCAAATCCCAATGAATGACTGATTATTCAACTACTATCATTAATTTGTAATAAAGGCACTAATATTTGTTTTTCTTTTAATCTTTTATGGAATGTGGGCTAACTCTGGTAAGGCCAGCATTCATTGCCCATCCCTAATTGTCCTTGAACTGAGTGGCTTGCTAGACCATTTCAGAGGGCAGTTAAGAGTCGACCACATTGCTGTGGGTATGGAACTACATGTAGGCCATATATCCTAATCGACAGATATTTGTAAGCCAGATGGATTTTTACAACCAACAATGTTATTTTCATTGTACTGTTATGGACCAGACCAAAACCCCTCAAAATATTCAGAAGATAGTCTACATCTTAACTTTTTCTTATTTTAAAGGTAAATGTAGGGTGCTGCATTCCAGATGCAATTCAATTTGTCAAACTACCGGATTTAAATCAAAACACACTTTATTCATCCACAATAGTTAAAATATAACAAAAGAAAGAAGGAACAAAAACAGAAGTTGCTGGAAAAGCTCAACAGGTCTGGCAGCATCTGTAAAGAGAAATCAGAGTTAATGTTGCCGGTCCTTCCTCAGAAAAGAAAGAAGAAATTGGAATAACTTAACTCTATTGGAAAACTTGACAGAATAATAGATACAGTAACCATTACTAATTAACTTTTCCAATGTAGTAACATCCCATAAACACACCCTTGGCAAAAGGCAAATTCAGAAAACAGACTGTCTCACACACAACTCCAGTACTAAAGAACCAAGATACATTAGGAACATTTAAGCGACTCTTGGGTAGGCACATGGATGATAGTAAAATGAAGGGTGTGCAGGGTAGTTTGATTTTAGAGTAGGATAATAGGTCGGCACAACGTTGTGGGCCAAAGGGCCTGTACTGTGCTGTACTGTCCTGTGTTCTATGTTCTATGTTCTTACCCCCAGGTTTTGGCTATAACTGAGAGAGAGAAAAACTAAAGCTTCCAATTCTTCAAGATCCCAACAGCAACTGCTGAAAGCCAAAACTAAAAATCCTGATTCTGTAGGAGCTTGACCACATCCATTCAGGTTGCTTCTATTGTTCCAACTTAAAAAAAAACCCAAAGCCCAACAAGCTGTTTACTCTAGTGGCTCTGGTAGACTGCACATCACCTCTGCCTTAAAATCTCTCTTCAAAAAAACCCAGGACGCACTGACTTCTATATCGCCGAGGCCAGACGCCAACTCTCCGACACCTCCTCCTACCACCCCCTTGATCATGACCCCACCCCCGACCACCAAAACATCATCTCCCACACCATCCACAACTTCATCACCTCAGGTGACCTCCCACCCACAGCCTCCAAGCTCACTGTTCCCCGACCCCGCACTGCCTGTTTCAATCTCCTTCCCAACATCCACAAACCCGACTGCCCTGGCCGACTCATTATCTCCACCTGCTCCTGCCCCACTGAACTTATCTCCACTTATATCAACTCCATTTTCTCCCCCTTGGTCCAGGAACTCCCCACCTACGTCCGTGACACCACCCATGCCCTCCACCTCCTCCGAAACTTCCGATTCCCTAGTCCCCAACACCTCATCTTTACCATGGACATACAGTCCCTATACACTTGCATTCCCCATGCAGATGGCCTAAAGGCCCTTCACTTCTTCCTGTCCCGCAGGCCCGACCAGTCCCCCTCCACTGACACCCTCATCCGCTTAGCCAAACTCGTCCTCACCCTGAACAACTTCTCCTTCAATTCCTCCCACTTCCTACAGACAAAGGGGTGGCCATGGGTACCTGCATGGGCCCAAGCTATGCCTGCCTCTTTGTAGGATACGTGGAACAATCCCTCTTCCGAAGCTACAATGGCCCTATCCTCCACCCCTTGCTCCGTTACATCGATGATGGTATCGGCGCCACCTTGTGCTCCCACAAGGAGCTCAAACAGTTCATCCACTTTACCAACACTTTCCACCCCAACCTCAAGTTCACCTGGACCATCTCCGATACCTCTCTCTCCTTCCCGGACCTCTCTGTCTCCATCTCTGGCAACCACCCGGAAACCAATATCCACTTCAAGCCCACCGACTCCCACAGCTACGTAGAATACACCTTCTCTCACCCACCTTCCTGCAAAAATGCCATCCCTATTCCCAATTCCTTCGCCTCCGCCGCATCTGCTCCTGAGATGAGGCATCCACTCGCGGACATCCCAGATGTCCTTGTTTTTCAAGGACTGCAACTTCCCCTCCACAGTGGTCGAAAATGCCCTCGACCGTGCCTCTGGCATTTCCTGCAACTCATCCCTCACACCCCCTCCCTGCAATAACAACCAAAACAGAATCCTCCTCGTCCTCACGTACCACTCCACAAACCTCCGGATCCAATGCATCATCCTCTGACACTTCCGCCATCTGCAATCCGACCCCACCACCAAAGACATTTTTCCCTCCCCACCCTTACCTGCTTTCCGGAGGGACCACTATCTCCATGGCTCCCTTGTCCGCTCCACACTCTCCACCAGCCCCACCACCCCCTGCACTTTTCCCTGCAACCGCAGGAAGTGCTACACCTGCCCCTACACCTCCCCCCTCACCCCCATCCCAGGCCCCAAGAAAACCTTCCACATCAAACAGATGTTCATCTGCACATTTGCTAATGTGGTATACTGTATCCACTGTTCCTGTTGTGGCCTCCTCTACATCGGGGAAACCAAGCGGAGGCTTGAGGACCGCTTTGTGGAACACCTACACTTGGTTCGGGACAAACGACTGCACCTCCCAGTCGCGAACCACTTCAACTCCCCCTCCCACTCCTTGGATGACAAGTCCATCCTGGGCCTCCTGCAGTGCCACAACGATGCCATCCAAAGGTTGCAGGAACAGCATCTCATATTTCACTTGGGAACCCTGCAGCCCAATGGTATCAATGTGGCTTTCACAAGCTTCAAAATTCCCCCTCCCCCGACCCCATCCCAAAACCATTCCCCCCTCCCTAACCTGTCCATCCTTCCTCCCACCTATCCACTCCTCCCACCTCAAGCCCCACCCCCACTTCCTACCTACCAGCCTCATCCCGCCTCCTTGACCTGTCCGTCTTCCCTGGACTGACCTACCCCCACCCTAACTCCCCACCGACACTCACCTTTACTGGCTCCATCCCCACCTCTTTGACCTGTCTGTCTCCTCTCCACCTATCTGCTCCTTTATCCATTCTCCATCTGCCACCCCCTCTCTCTCTATTTATTTCAGAATCCCCTTCCCCTCCCCCATTTCTGAAGAAAGGTCCAGACCCGAAACGACAGCTTTCCTGCTCCTCTGATGCTGCTTGCCCTGCTGTGTTCATCCAGCTCCACACCTTGTTATCTCAGATTCTCCAGCATCGGCAGTTCCCACTATCTCAGGACAAAATACTCCTCTTAAAGCCATAGTATCATCACAACCATAGTACCATTACACGGACTAGCTTTGCACAGATAGAAAGTTACCATTGTTCTTATCACTGAAGAAATATCAAAATGCTTGGCTTGCCTTGGCTTGGTCTGGCCTGACCTGGCCTTGGAGACAAAGAAGCAGAGAGAAAGTGCCAACAAGCTTTCCATGTTGAGGCATAGACATAGACATTAAAATCCAATTAAATCCATTGATTGAAACACCTCCCGAGGAAAGGTCAGAGCAAATAATATACACTACATCGCAAACCCAGAAACCATAAATACCTCAAGATCTAAACTGTATGTTCGTTCACATTCTTGTTGATATACAGTGTATGTTATTAATTGGGCTTTTTTTGCTAGTTGACTAATGTGCCGTAGTTGATAAATGTGTCAGATGTATTGGAGCCATTAACGCATAAATCTCACCGTAAACGGAGATAATCAGATGTGAATTAATGTCTCTGTTGGGATCTCTCAATACTGAATCATGGCTGTTGACACTTGAAATTTATTTAAAATATCAAGCGAATCATTCAGGATCTTCTGGCAATGGAAAGACATCAGTAGGAGGTAGCACTTTTAATATAGTTTCTCGTGATAACATTTTAGGAAATAGATAAAGAATGATAAAGGTTATTTAGCTCACCCTCATTGTAATTTTTATATCCAGTTCAAACTTTCTAATAGTAGTCAATTCCATTTGTACACTTGCTCAGTACTGGATATTTGAATCAAATCATTTAAGTTATTTTCACTCTAACTGAATCCCAAACTATAATACTTACTTTGCTGTTATCTTTCTATCTTGCTATTTATGTGGTAATTTCTGTGACTTTTTCCCCCATTTATTGCCTAACTATTTATTTTGTATTCAGACAAACCCCAATGAAGATGCCTCACCATCTCAATGTGTTCATTTTTGGCATTTGCCCTTTTTTTTAACTCATTGTTTCCCCTTAATTGATCCAAACCTTGCTGTGGGTGTTCACTGTTGTAGACATAACTATGCCCATTGAATCCCATGGTATCTCCCTCTGCCAGTTACTGGAAATAGGATCTTAGTTAACAAAGCAGGTGTATCCCTAACCAATCAAATTGTAGGATGGTCAAGTGAACAGATCAATGACTGAATGAGGAAATGTAAGTCAGAGTAATGACTTCACTGTCAAATCAAGTTCATGAAGAGAATTGAAGAGATGGAAAAAAATGAGGATGAGATAAGGTAGAGAGATAAGTGAGACATTGAAAATGTTATTTCAGAAAGATTTAAAATGTTGAGAAATGAAAATTGCCCATTTGTAATAGTTAATTTTCCATGCCAGACAGGTTAGCTGTTCAGTAATTAACACTTGGCGTGTTGTTTAAAGATATTTATGAAATGGACAAATCTTTACTTTGCAAGTCACTCTGCTCTCTTTTGTTTTTACTCATTCGTGGGATGCGAGGCATTGCTGACTGGCCAACATTTATTGCTCGTTCCTAGCTGCCCTTGAACTAAATGGCTTGCTAGGCCATTTGAGAGGACAGCTGAGAGTCAACCACATTGCTGTGGGTCTGAAGTCATATGCAGGTCAGACCAGATGAAGATGGCAGATTTCCATCCCTGAAGGACATTAATGAGCCAGTTGAATTTTTCCAACAATCAGCAATCATCAGTAGATTCTTAAAGCAGATTTTGTTTTTTCAATTGAATTCATGGCAGGATTTGAACACCCCAGAAAATTAGCTGAGGTTCTGGCTCAATAGCCTCACGATAATACCACTTGACCATGGCCTCCCTTATAGCTTGCAATTAAGAAACTATTCAGCAAGGTACTGTTTTTACTAAGGTAATGGTAAAGCTACACATTACCCAGAGAAATCTTTTAAGCTGAAGGATACCACAACACCATTTCTACCAGGAAGGACTTTGAAGTTTTCTACTCATAAGATACTGTTATAGAAAGTTAAACTTTAAGACAATGATTGGAATTAAGGAGAATGCTGGAGTTTTTACACCCTTTTTATTCTCTTGCCTTTTAGGCCTGTCATGTGAAAGAGGGAGGGAGTGCAGGCCTTATTCCCAGTCAGCTGTTGGAGGAGAAGAGGAAAGCATTTGTGAAGCGAGACTGGGATTTCTCCAGTTCTTCCGGTAAACTTTACATGATCAAGATGGCATGTGTTCCCATTTCATTCTATAAAACAAGTTCTGATATTCTTAGTAAATAGAGTTAAATTGCAGTAAAATACTTAAGGGTAATAATCTGTAACTGCTTTCATAGACATTGAACGAAATGAAACATCAAGGTTCATCTAGTTGGTCTTATAATGGCCTAGTAATGGCTTGATGTAACTAACAGGAGGATAGATGACCAGTCTGGCACAAAGATTATGTCAAGATGTATAACAAAATGTTGTAAATATCTCCCAGGAACAGTTTACTATCTAAGTTCTCGTGCCCGGTGAAGGCATGTCATATTCATAACTTGTAAAATTTGAACTTAACATGCTAGAATTGTTACAAATTGACTTTTCTTTGAAACTGACAATATATATTGACAAACACTGTATTTGGAAAAGGGAGCCATGAGAAGCCAATTGTGAGGCAGGAAATGTTGGTCTCCTTTTTAACCTTGAAGGGCAGAATGAGACAAAAGCAGTAAAAAAGACAGTGACATCTGTGCCTTCAGAACCAAAGACTGTAACACTGTATTTTCTTGAAGCCTGCTCCCCTTTGGGTCCACCATATAACAAACTGAGCTCCTGGTAATGAGACTGACAGCAACTAAGTTTGTGATTTGTAGAAAGTCCATCCCTTAGCGAAAGTGCCAAAACAGCAATGGGATATGCCTTTGGTTACTGAATGCCTAAAAATAACCCTTCAGGAGAGAAAATATCTTCTACGTCACACCTGAAATATTTGATTACTAGAACAAGCCAATTTTGCAAAATATGAGATACTGTTTTGCTTACAACCTGTAAAAATACACTATAGAGGGTCCATGCTATTTGTTACCCCGATATTTCACTCTTTGCATATATCTCCCTATTTTGGTTAGTGAATCACTTTTGATATTCAGTTCGCTCAGTTGGGTAAGTTGACATGTTTGGCATGTTGCCAAAAATGCGTTCATTAAGTCTTAAGGGAAATAAACCTTGTTTTTCGTTCTTTCACTGTCCATCGTATTTTTCTGAAACATATCTCCATTTAGGCGCAAGGACCCCTCGCATTCCTTTCAGTGATACTTTGCTTGAATGTATGTGTATGTGTTTGTGTGTGTGTGTGCGTGTGTGTGTGTGTACGTGTGTGTACGTGTATGCGCGCGTGTGTGTGTACGTGTATGCGCGCACGCGCGCGTGTGTGTGTGTTTGTGTGTGTGTGGAGCAACATTAGTTTCCAGCACAAGCATGTTGATAAACAATCCTTTCCTCTCTTTCTGCGCCTTCACATTGAGGGCCATAAAGTACCAAATGAGCCTTTATCAATAGTGTTGAAAGTTTCATTGGTGCTAAAGAACATTTACAACATTTGCTAAGGTGAAGAAAACAAGCTAAGAATTCTCCTAAGGTCCTGGATGGAGTGGCTACAGTGAAATCTGTGAGAACCATGTGTGAAATCGAGAGAGAGTTTTCTTGACGTCGGGAGCAATTAGTTGCACTTTCCAATCAAGTTCCTGCTGCCAAGATGAGATTCTCGCAAAGAAACAGTGTGATGCCTATTGACAGTGACTATTGCTTGTTATCACTAACTGCAGACCTTATCTCATTAATGTGCTGCATCCTATTGTACAGCCTGCCACTATGAACAAGATGCCAAGAATTCAGGAAAAGAAAGTCTGGAGGGCATGCAGGGCACGTAGTATAGGGGAATTGGGTGGGTGAGAGCAAATAAGAGATGTTGCCTACAATGGTGAATGGTAAAACATGAGCCTTGGTGGGATGAGTGTGCAGTCATGGAGATAGTGAGTATGAAGAAGCAGGGAACAGATGATGGAACTTCTCTACTCTGCCAGGGTAAGGTCACTGAGCTTCTTCCTACACTGCTGACATTCCTCCAGAGGGCTGGAATCATGCTGACCCAAGTGAGTAACCTTGAAACATGCTGGCAGGGACTGAAGTTGTGACCTTGTCTGCCAATCTTGGGTGAAGAGAACGTCCCTCCTTTACACCACTCAGTCTACCAGGACTTCCTGGTCCTTGCCTGTAATCGGGATACGAATTACCCCTGTGTACCATGTCCGGCCTGAACGTGCAAGGCAGCTCTGAAGGGAAATTATTTTTTAAAGAAGGCACCAGAAATTGGCTATTCCAGGATATCTGATCAATGGTGAATTCTTATGGCTACATCAAGAGCTAGAATCAGGCTAGCATTGGACATGAAGAGTGCCATGGGGCAGAGTCGATAGTTAATGAGGTAAATTGCGAATGACAGCTTGATAAAATCCTGTAGGCCTCACAGAGGGAAACTCTTTGTGAAACCCAAGAAAATGACACCAAACTAAAATGCCATCAGATTCAGCCTCTGTTAACTTGACTTAAGAAGCATCTTACTGTCGCTTCATCTTGAAAGGCTTCGAAACAGAGTAAGAACAGAGTAATGTTGCATCATTTCCTGTGGTGTAGCAAGCAGTATCTCATTAGCAAATCATGCCGATGATATAACCTCTTATACTGCACTGTCAATAACATATTGTGTCTTTATAATTTTCTGTATTTTTAATCGTTGACCAAAATTAAAAGAAAAATTGTTTTAAACAAAGGGTTGCTGAAGGATTGCTGCCTGTTTTGAAAGTGAGAAACCTGACACCTGTTGTGAACTGAAAGAACTGTGGATGCTGTAAATCAGGAACAAAAGCGGAAGTTGCTGGAAAAGCTCAGCAGCTCCAGAAGCATCTGTTCTGAGGAAGAGTCACCGGACCTGAAATGTTAACTCTGACATTTTTTTTAACAGATACTGCCAGACCTGCTGAGCTTTTCCAGCAACTTTTGTTGTGAGCTTGCTGTGAACCAGTGGTTAGAGTGTGTGAGCTGGAACTCAGAGGTTGTATACAGATGGAGCCTTGGTTGATATAAGTAGCTGATTGAACAGTGGGCAGGTCACCAACTATTGATGACAAAGCCTTCTGCTGGACAACAACAATATGATTAGTTCTCGGGTAGCTGTACAGGTTTGGGGGGTGGACATGATAGAAAGGAACCTTCAGACCTCTACCAGCTCAGGCATTCTCTCTGTTCTCTACAATAAATATTACTTTAAACCTGAGGGAGAACAGTTTATTTTGCCTTGAGCAGTCCCTGTAAGCTGTGACTTTTAATTAAAGTTGGAAACCTTTTATAAGAAAACCAGCCACCCTGCTGTTCTTGGAAACCAGTAGCCAACAAACAGAAAACAAAGACTGAGAGGTAGCATTTTGATCAACACAAAAACCGCTACAACAAACCTCGTGAGCAAAGATCATTGAACTGCTTTCCCATCCACGACACCCATGATTTTTTATCATGTACGTGTGTGTGTGCGCGTGTGCGTCTGTGAACAAAGAAAGAACAAAGAACAAAGAAAATTACAGCATAGGAACAGGCCCTTTGGCCCTCCAAGCCTGCACCGATCCAGATCCTCTATCTAAACCTGTAGCCTATTTTCCAAGGATCTGTATCCCTCTGCTCCCTGCCCATTCATGTATCTGTCTAGATACATCTTAAACGACGTTATCGTCTCCACCTCTACCACCTCCACTGGCAACGCGTTCCAGGCACCCACCACCCTCTGCGTAAAGAACTTTCCATGCATATCTCCCTTAAACTTTTCCCCTCTCACCTTGAAATCGTGACCCCTAGTAATTGAGTCCCCCACTCTGGAAAAAAGCTTCTTGCTATCCACCTTGTCTGTACCTCCCATGATTTTGTAGACCTCAATCAGGTCCCCGCTCAAACTCCGTCTTTCTAATGTAAAGAAATGTGAGTGTGCACGTGTGTGTGTGTCTATATGTAAGGGGAGTTTGTAAGAGGATTAGAGTTTTGAATAATATTGAATGGCAATGGTTCATAATTGTTTACCTATAGCTAGAATCTAATTACTTTTAATAAATATTAATTCTAATTAAACAAAATCCCTATAGTGCGGATAGAGGCCATTCAGCATAAACCCTCCAAAGGTCATCCCACCAGATCCCTGGTAACCTATATTTACCATGGCTAATGCACTTAGCCTACACCTCCCTAGACACTATGGGACAATTTAGCATGGCCAGTCCACCTAACCTGCACTTTTTTGGACTGCGGGAGGAAACCCACACAGATACAGGAGGAACATGCAAACTTCACACAGACAGTCACTTGAGGCTGAAATCGAACTCAAGTCTCTGTTGCCGTGAGGCAACAGTACCAGCCATTATGCCACCGTGACGTCTGGCAAAAACGATACAGTTACCATCGTCCTATCATAGGGCTGCTGTCATTCGAGAGACACCTGGCAGTAATTTAACATGAGGTTCACCAGGCCACAAGCAAGGGGAAAATTTGAGAAGAGTCCTTCATGGTAACCTCAGTGTGGGAATCAAACTCACACAATTGGTATCACATTACAGCACAAACTGCTCTTCCCACTGAGGTATAACAGCATTCTGCTACAGAGGTTTGATCAGCCTCTGGACAATGGGTTCATACCAGTCTTCAACTGAACAAACCCTTTGCTCCAGGGCACACTACATTTTGGGACCTCCTGCCCCATGTACCTAGGCATCTGCAGTTTGAGAATCTACCTGTCCATTCACATGAGGACCTATGACTGAAAGTAATGACCACGAGTAGCTGTCATCCTTGAATCAAGGGTCAATTGATGATGCTAATAATATAAAATATAAAGTAATAACTAATTTCGTGGAAGTCATAAATTGCTCATTTATTTTGTGAACTCATAATGGCAAGTGGCATAAGCTCACTATCATTTCTTTCAGCAATCTCTGACCCAGAATGTATTCAGGGAGTTCTTTTTTCATTCATTCATGAAATGTGAGTGCCTTTAGTTGGGCCATATTTATTGCCCATCCCTAATTCCCCAGGCAGTTAAGAGTCAACCACATTGCTGTGGGTCTGGAGTCACATGTAGTAAGGATGGCAGTTGTTTCCCCTAAAGGACATTCTGTTCCTATTTTGTTAAAGACATACAGTAATTTAATTTGAGTATGGTAACGAGCATGCTAATTTCACTGCCATTACTCAAAACTCTAATCCTCTTACGCACACATACATGCGGAAAAAATGTCATGGGTGTGCAGATTTTGATCATCTGAAGCATTGTGTGTCCATTACAACCGTGAATGTCTAATATTTAATTTTATCAACAGGTGCACTTTGTGGGAGCATGGGCGGAAAAAGAAAGAAGAAAATGATGTATCTCACCACCAAAAATGCAGGTAATTGACACATTAGTTCCATTAAGGGTTACACTTCAGCATAGTGTCTTCTCTCACTACAAGTTATGTCCAATCAACTACATAGTTCAAGTTTTCTTAATACTTATATCACTAATAAGATCTTTTCACATTGAATGTAGTCAGATGTTTGTCAAGCAATTATTAAGGTTGTCATCTGTCTAAACTTCTTGCCAATGTAATAATTATTTTCACACTAGAAAACTACATAAAATTAATAACCCACCAGGATGCGAAGGAAAAGAGCAACTAATTCCTAGTATTCTGAATGATATCATGTGTTAAAGAAAGATTTATGTTTAAACAATTATTTTTCAAACTTCAAGACATTGTAATTGTAACAAAGTATGTACATTTTGTACATTTTACTGTCACAATGTAAAGGTAAGAAATGTGCCAAATAATGTGAACCACAGATGGTTCAGGAGATGATTTGAAAGAATAAATGTTTGCCAGGACACACTGGGGTTAACTCCATCACCCTGTTGAGAAATGGGACAGTGATGCCTTGAGAAGGCAGACAGGGCTTTGGTTAAGATGTTTTATTTTAAGGATAAACCCTCTGACTCACCTTGTACTGCAATGATGAGTTAGTTTGGATTATGTTTAGTTATAGGCAAATTAGAGATAAAGTAATATATTAAACAGGTTTGGACGCAAGCCATGTGCTCTCTGATAATTTGTTGCTTCCTTTTATTTTTGTTTTTGACTTTGCCCACCATTTTTCTCTTCATTGCTGTTGAATTCTTCTAAGGAAGTAATTCTGTGAGTGCTGCACACTCTCTACCATTTCCCTCAGTGACTGTTCTCGAGCATCGGCAACATGGTCGATTAGGTCCACATTTCAATCACGTCTGATCTAATCTGTCTATTGGACATGGAGAAGTGGTCAATGGGAACTGGATGATTGCTGGTCCCATCTGTAATTCTCAGGCAGTGAGGCGAATTGTAGTGAGGTTAATTGTAGTGCTCCCAACAGTTTTGTAAATTGCCATTAGCAGACTCAACACAGATCAGTGAATGAACTTAGGATCTTTATGAACTGTACTTTTCATCTACTTTGTAAGTGGATTTGTTCAGCACAACTCATTTAGATTGTATGTTAAATTTTTGGTTTGTGAGGGGAGTCGGGGGTCATAGGGCATAACATAGAAATAAAGTCACAATCAGTTCAACTATGATCATATTGAACGATGAAAAAGGATCAAACAACTGAAAGGCCTACTACTGTCATTTCTTAGGATCTCATGATCTACAAATGAATGATTGCAATCATACAACTATGGAACCACTGAACTATCAGAAGTGTCATCTTTAGGATGAGAGGCTTAACTTAGAAGGAAACCCTTAACTGAGGTGCCATTCTGCTTTCTCAGGTGGATATTAAATATCCTAATACACTAATTTGAAGAATAGCAGAGTAGTTAACCTCCCCATATCCCAGTAAATATTTATCCCCTAATGCTACCCCTGGCCCACCCATGACCATGTCAGTATACTCAAAGCATGTTATCTGCTATTGAATATATTCCTGTCTGTGGGAGTTTGCCATGCATTAATTGGCAGTTGTTTTTCCTATATTTCAATGACTACACCTCAGAAACACCTAATTGCTTATAAAGAACTTTTGAACTTTTATGAGGTCATGAAAAGCACGAGATAAATGCACATCTTTTGTCACGCAAAAACTTGTGGTTGTTAAAATGAGAAAATGCTTTTTATGCATAGCTTGTTCAACTAAGTGAAAACAACCAGTACTGTATGAATCAGTGTAATGTTCTGACAAGGATAGTAGGAACTGCAGATGCTGGAGAATCTGAGATAACAAGGTGTAGAGCTAGATGAACACAGCAGGCCAAGCAGCATCAGAGGAGCAGAAAGGCTGACGTTTCGGACGGAGACCCTTCTTCAGAAATGGGGGAGGGGAAGGGGGTTCTGAAATAAATAGGGAGAGAGGGGGAGGCAGATAGAAGATGAATAGAGGAGAAGATAGGTGGAGAGGAGACAGACCGGTCAAAGAGGCGGGCATGGAGCCAGTAAAGATGAGTGTAGGTGGGGAGTTAGGGAGGAGATAGGTCCGTCCAGGGAGGATGGACAGGTCAAGGGGGCGGGATGAGGTTAGTAGGTAGGAGATGGGGGTGAGGCTGGAGGTGGGAGGAGGGGATAGGTGGGAGGAAGGACTGGTTAGGGAGGCGGGGACGAGCTGGGCAGGTTTTGGGATACAGTAGGGGGAGGGGAGATTTTGAAGCATGTGAGGTCCACATTGATACCATTGGGCTGCAGGGTTCCCAAGCGGAATATGAGTTGCTGTTCCTGCAACCTTCGGGTAGCATCGTTGTGACACTGCAGGAGGCCCAGGATGGACATGTCGTCTGCGGAATGGGAGGGGGAGTTGAAATGGTTCACGACTGGGAGGTGCAGTTGTTTCGTGCGAACCAAGCATACGTGTTCTGCAAAGCGGTCCCCAAGCCTCCGCTTGGTTTCCCCGATGTAGAGGAGGCCACAACGGGAACAGCGGATGCAGTATACCACATTAGCAGATGTGCAGGTGAACATCTGCCTGATGTGGAAAGTCTTCTTGGGGCCTGGGATGGGGGTGAGGGGGGAGGTGTAGGGGCAGGTTAGCACTTCCTGCGGTTGCAGGGAAAAGTGCCAGATGAGGTGGGGCTGGAGGGGTGTGTGGAGCGGACAAGGGAGTCACGGAGAGAGTGGTCCCTCCGGAAGGCAGATAAGGGTGGGGAGGGAAAAATGTCTTTGGTGGTGGGGTTGGATTGCAGATGGCGGAAGTGTCAGGGGATGATGCGTTGGATCCAGAGGTTGGTGGGGTGGTACGTGAGGACGAGGGGGATTCTGTTTTGGTTGTTATTGCAGGGAGGGGGTGTGAGGGCTGAGTTGTGGGAAATGTGGGAGACACGGTGGAAGGCGTTCTCGACCACTGATGGGGGGAAGTTGCGGTCCTTGAAAAACGAGGACATCTGAGATGTACGGGAGTGGAATGCCTCATCCTGAGAGCAGATGCAGCGGAGGCGAAGGAATTGGGAATAGGGGATGGCATTTTTGCAGGACGCTGGGTGAGAGGAGGTGTTTTCTAGGTAGCTGTGGGAGTCGGTGGGCTTGAAATGGATATCGGTTTCTAGGTGGTTGCCGGAGATGGAGACAGAGAGGTCCAGGAAGGAGAGAGAGGTATTCGAGATGGTCCAGGTGAACTTAAGGTTGGGGTGGAAGGTGTTGACCTGAACTCACAATTCTACTCAGCTTTATTGGACACAAAAAACTGTAAGTGCAGTAAACTTACTGGTGCCTACCACCCAAAACAGGCTTCCTCCACTTCCCAAAACCCCAACCCTACCCAGGACCTTCCCCACAATGTGCCCGCCGCCATCGGCCATGTGGCCACTGTTGGAGCAACCACGGATGACGTCACATCCTCCGCCGCCGGGTACACCACTTCCGGGACAGCGAACGCCATCGACACCGCTGCTGATGCCACCACCTCCATTTCCGAGGCCGACACCGTAGACACTGAGGACACGCCTACCGTCACCGCTGCTGCCGCCTCCTACCCCGCTCTGCCCACCGCCGACGCAAATCCGCCCACCACCAACGCCGATGCAACTCTGCGCACCGCCAACACTGACACAACTTCGCCCACCACCGCCAACGCAACTCCGCACACAGCCAGCGCCGACGTCGCTCCGCCCACCGCCTCCACAGCCAGCAGCTCCAGAGGAGACAGTAGCACCCAGCCCTGCCGAGTCTTCACCATCCCCCCAGACCTCCCCCTTATTGAGGACGAACGGTCACAGGGTTGTAGTCATGGGTGACTTCAACTTTCCAAATATTGATTGGAAACTGTTTAGTTGTAATAGTTTAGAAGGTGCGGATTTTGTCCAGTGCGTTCAAGAAGGATTCCTGACACAGTATGTGGATAGACCAACACGAGGAGAGGCTACTTTAGATTTGGTGCTTGGCAATGAACCGGGCCAAGTGTTAGATCTGTTGGTAGGAGAGCATTTTGGTGGTAGTGATCATAACTCTGTTACTTTTGCAATAGTCATGGAAAAGGATAGGTATATACAGCAGGGTAAGGTTTATAATTGGGGGAAGGGTAATTGTAATTCTGTTAGGCGAGAACTGGGTAACATAAAATCGGAACAGATGCTGTCAGGGAAGAACACTATAGAAATGTGGAGATTGTTTAAGGAATGCATACTGCGTGTGCTCGATATGTTTGTCCCTAGCAGGCAGGGAAGAAGCTGTTGAGTGAGGGAGCCTTGGTTCTCAAGACAGATCAAACAACTAGTTAAGAGGAAGAAGGATGCTTATATAAGGTTTAGGAAACAAGGATTGGAAAAGGCTGTAGAGGGATACAAGTTAGACGGGAAGGAGCTGAAGAAAGGGCTTAGGAGTGCTATAAGGGGGCATGAGAAAACCTTGGCAGATAGGATCAAGGAAAACTCTAAGGCTTTTTACACATATGTGAGGAATAAGAGAACGATCAGAGAAAGAGTCGGGCTGATCAAGGATTGTAAAGGAAATTTGTGCACGGAGCCTAAAGAGATAGGAGAGGTCCTTAATGAATACTTTTCTTCAGTATTCACAACTGAGAGGGACCTAGTTGTAGAGGCAGACAGTGTGAAACAGGCTGGTAGGCTAGAGGAGGTGGATGTTAGGAAGGAAGATGTTCTAGGAATTTTGAGGAACTTGAAGATAGATAAGTCCCCCGGGCCTGATGAGATTTATCCAATGATTCTATGGGAAGCGAGGGAAGAGATCGCAGGGCCTTTGGCGATGATCTTTTCGTCCTCACTGTCCACGGGTATAGTGCCGGAAGATTGGAGAGTGGCAAACGTCATTCCCTTATTCAAAAAAGGGAATAGGGATAACCCCGGAAATTACAGGCCAGTTAGTCTTACTTCAGTGGTGGGCAAATTATTGGAAAGGGCTCTGAGAGATAGGATTTATGATCACTTGGATAGGCA